CTTTTCGGGTCTGTTTCTGCTTCAACTCTCCTTTCGGTTTGTAGTCCAGCCGGTTAGAGGTCGTTCGCTCCTTATCTATATTTATCAGATCAAATCGAAACTGCTAATTTCTTTGGTTTTGTGTATGGTGTGGTAAGCATTTGGTTATGTCTCCACCGTCTCTGGTTTGTTGCCGAAGCTTAAAGCCTTAAGCTTAGTCTTTTGAGGTATAATTGATTCGATATAGAAAGATTTTGTTTGGTTGTGTCCATGTGGTTGCGTTGGTTATAGATCTACTTGTTAGGTTCTCTCCTTGTATTCAGTCTTGCTTTGGTGTGGTTGACCGGTCGTTGTGTAAATTTTTTCTCTTATTTCTCTTTTCGTTTAATAAAAAATCTAAAATGACAAAAAAAAATTTACAAAAGTAGAAAGGACAAAAAAAACTTATAACAAACTTAAAAAGAAGAAGAGTGTTCTATATATACAAAATGAAGGTCATGTTTTGTCTCTGTATGGTTAATCTTATTGAAGAGAATTAAGTTGTCGAGCAGTTTTCGCATAAAACCAGGTAGATAAAAAAATATTGAAGTGCATCCCCCCCTGAAAGTTATAAACGCAATACATGCGATATTGAGAATGAAAAGAAGACGATTTTAATCTTCTCATGCTCTTCAAAATAGAATTCATAAGAACCGGCCAAGTTGACGATGCTTCCACTATCTTTATCAACTCCTTGCTATCCGTGAGAAACGCTATCCTCTTCTTATGCTGCGCGATCATGCAGTGCATTGTCCAAGTAAGTGTCTACATCAAGGTTCATTGCTTCCATCAGAACTTCATCGTCATCGTTGTGGGAATAAAATCATCCAAACCTTGAGAAACTGTCTCTTGCTGTCCTACAGACATCTATAAAGAAATGGAGAACCTCACTATACAATCGTCCCTCGCCGAGTTCAATAGCAGACCTATGAATTTTGATTATGCGTCTGCTAATAGAAGGTTGTCCCTCGTTTCAGTTTGATAGCGGTTATCTTGTTGCGCAAAATCTATAGATTTGATTATTTGCCTGTAAATCGAAAAATCTCATGGGGATCATTGTAACACCCTCGATCGGCGGCCAGAACCCACACTTGGGAACAGATGGGCCGAAGTCTCAGAAACCAATTTTGCTTCCTTAGCTTAATTTTTCACGAGTGTTTCACCTGTCTAACCTGATCCTAAGGCTTTCCAATCGAACCACATCATAACAGTCGGTTCGGTCTGGACTAGACCATGCATCACTGAGACTTACAATTTTTCCTATCA